AGAGAAAGAAAATAATTTCCTACAGACCTACTTTATCGGAATTCCCCAGTCGGTCCGTCAATACCGGAATTAAGGACATAATCCGTACATCGAGGAAAAGTTAAATCACAGTTCTAGATACGGGTTCTTTAATGTGACTGGTGGATTCTCATGTATATCTCTCTGCTCAACCTATCCAAGCGTCGTTTTGTCAGGCTAAATAGAACTATCTAGATCAGAAATTGTCAAATCTCTAGATTCCTTAAGTTCATCTGCACCTAGTCAAGACCATTAAATTTGTCGTGCCTACCAGCGCATCGAACACAGAGCCTAGACAATTTAGATTTGGTACTTTACACAGACTCAGATTACCTGTTATCACAAGCTGATATCACTTCCCATCACATCACCTGCAAGAACATTCCATAACCAACATATTTTTGGATTTTCTGATTTTCTAATGTTTTTGGATTTTTTTTTAAATTTTCTAATTTTTGTTTTGTTTTTATTTCTCCCCCTAAATTTGTGCATAGGAGAGAAACGAAAGAAAATGCGCAAATTTAAACTATCCTAAAACAAAAAATAGTCTTTAAAAAGAATCAACTTAAGAAAAACTCAGGAGTATAGAGAAGAAAACTCAAACCGTAAGTCACCGATTGAATTTGCATCCAGAAGGTCTGAGAACCGCACGCGTAATCTCAGAACAGATCCGAAAATTCTTCATGTCATTAAGCACTAACCCCATTTGTGATCTCTTCCTTTCTTCCTTTCCCGCAAAGGACACATAGCCCCCATTAAAAGATTGAATGTTGCTCAATTGGGAGATGTCTCCGGTCATGTGCCGGGAGCAGCCGCTGTCGACATACCAGGGTCTGACGACATTCCTCCGCAACTGTCCCTGCACGATGAGCGGAATCATTTAGATTTGGGGACCCAGGTCATAACAGTCCTGGGTTGACCCTTAACTTTCACAGATTGATCTTTTAATTTCTCTTTTGATTTTTCTTTTTCAACAGATACAGAGGAGGATGATGACTGATCAGATTTTAATTTTGGCATCCATTGATATTTAGGTTTTGAAACATTTTTCGTTTGAGTTTGCTTCGAGCCGATGGATTTTCTACTCGAAGAGATTGAAGATACAGACCTACTCTTTGACGAAATCGACTTTGGCTTAGCTTGTGTCGATTTTGGCAAACTGTTTGTGAATTTATTGAAAACCTGTTTGTTCTTTTGAAAACCTGCCATTTTCTTGTTTTGATTTGTTTTCCAGTCATCATCTCGAGAGCGAGTTCTGGAGGATTTTCTAATTAAAGATCATCCTCTAGACTCATTCTCTCCCCTTTTTGACATGTGATGCACAAACATCCGGTTTAAACAATTTCTGGCAATATGACCAGTAATACCACAATTGAAGCAAATTTGTTTATTATCATTGGATTGGGTACTGCTCTTGTCAGATTTCTGGTTTTTATTATCTTTTCTAGCATTTTCACATTTGCAAGAGCAAGCACTAGATTGTGTAGCAAACGTGGAAGATGTAGAAGCATTCAAATCAGATTTAGCAACTTTATCAGAAACAACACCATTATTTTCAAAATTATCAGTCTGAAATAACACACCATCAGAAACAAAAACATTAGTGTTTGAGTTTAACACAGATTCATCACAAAATTCAACACCAAATTTAGACACAGAATTATTTTGACTTAGACTTTTCAGCTTCTTGCTCCCCCTGAACTACTAACATATCTGCACTTGAGGTAGAAATGTTAGTATCCAAAATTTTATCATTAGACCGTGTTGCTTGTTCAGAAGCTGATTTCCCATAAACCATGAAAGGTTCTCTGTCAATTTCTTCTTGAGATAGAGGAATGACAGTATAGTTATGATTGAATGGAGGAGGGACACTCTCAAAACCTAATCCTACTTTCTTTTGGTTTCCACATGTAATGTCCTTCCACTGCATCTGTCCCTCTATCATTTTTTTCAACTACTTCACTTGACCCATCGAATTTGTTAAAAATAAATTCAGCATTTTCAAGACGATTTTTCAATGAGTCAAGTTCAGCGGTCACAGCAGCAAATTTTCTTTTGAGATGATCATAGTTCTCGCATTTGTTGCTGTAATCCTCTTGCAGTTTCTTAAAGTCCTTTGTTTTATTCTCTAATTGTGTTTTTAAAGGCTTTTGATTTTTCTTAAGTGTGTAACCCTCATACTTAAGGTCCTCGTTCTCTCTCTTGATTAATTCAATTTGGTCACGTAAGAATTTAACAGTTTTCATACAAGATTGAGAGCAACCAAATTCACTGACCTCAGGTTTGGCTGGCTCAGGAGTAGTTTGCACCATGAACGCAAACTAAAGATTCATCATCTCTTCTTCAGGGTCCTTCTCTGCTTCTTCCTCCATACAATCCTTGATTTGAGCAAGATTCGCATTTTCAGGTCCTGAAATATTCAGAGCCTGAATTTGATCTTCCCAATCAAAGGATTGGGCCACCATCGCCAAGTTAGCAGTCTGATTGCTTGAAGATGATCCTCTGTTGACATTGTTCACCGGCACCATGGTTCGCTCAGAATTCTCTCTTCGGTCTGGCTTTGGACACTCCCTTGAAAAATGTCCAGGCTCATGGCAGTTGTAACATCGCAGCTTCCCTTTGTTGAACCCCACTTTTTTGTCAGAGTTCACGCTCCAATTATTTTTCCCAGTTTTCTTGGAGAATTGCTTTGCCCTAAAAACAACCACGGCCATTTGCCAGGTGATGTCCATCTCCTCCACATCCTCTGGATGGATCTGGTCTAGGTCAGCAAAAGACAGTTGTGGGGAAAGCTCTCCGGCCACAAAAGCGTTGTAGCAGTTTACCAAACCAGTGGCGAGGGCCAGATTTTCTTCCTTCTCTTTTAAAGATGAAGCTTGAGAACTGATTCCAGGAGATTGAATGGGTGCAGCTGTGGATGAACCAACACTAGAACCAACTTGTTGAGCTAAAGTTTGAGGTTGAGGAACTTGAATGTGTTGCATTTGAGGGATCACGTATGAGGTAGGCTGATGAGTCACATAGGGTTGAACTTGTGGAACATGAGAAATTGGAGGAGCTTGAGGGGTAGAAAAGCTTGAGAAAGCAGTGTTGTTTGTGGTTTGGATCCCAAGATTTGTTGTGGAGTATGAATTAACATGATTAATCTCCTTTTGCTTATCCTCGAGATCGCAAGCCTTGATGATCGCCATTGTTTCAGCTAAACTCAACATGTTCAAATCTTTGGTCTTTTTGATCACTGAGACATTCATGTCCCAGGATTTTGGTAGAGAGTTCAGCAGCTTCTTGTTTATCTCTGATCTTGTCACCATAACACCGGCAGAGCTCATTTCTGTGGTAAGTGTGATAAACATCTGCAACTGATTTTCAAGTGTTTCTCCCAAGACATGGTTAAACATATTGAATTTCTGTCGCAGCATATCTTGGCGACTCTGTTTCATGTCTTCATTGCCTTCATAGACTTCAATCGGTGCTTCCCATAAGGCCTTTGCTGATGTATACTCACGGAAACCTTGAGCAATTTCCGGAGATAATGCCATGGTAAGTGTGGCAAGAGCCTTTTCCTGCTCCTCGACTCTCTCAAAATCATCGTCCGTGTAATTTCCAACCTGCTTGTCAATTATGGTTCCATCTTCCAATGTGGTTGTGATGCGGATTGGACCTCTAAGAATGCTTCGCCATATCTTGAAATCCTTCATTTTGATGTACTTCTCGATCCGATATTTCCATTCTGGAAATCCTTCTGTGGATAAAAGTCGTGGAATTCGAGAAGTGGTTCCCATAATGGCATCTAATTCGTGATGAGCTGACATGCTTTGAGATTCCATTTTTGTTTTAGATTTTTGTTGTTTTTTGATTTTTTTTTTAATTTTTAATAAAAACAAACAAAAGGATCAAGAAAATAGGGTTTTCGATTGAGTGGTGTTGACCGAAAACAAGGAATTCGGTTGAAAGGAAAATAAGGTTTTCGGTTCTGAAGAGAAGAGGTTTTCTGTTTATCAAGGGTTTTCGGTTTATGATGATAAGGGGGTTTTCGGTTTCTGAAGGTTGAGGAGTTTTCGGTTTCTGAAGATTCAAAGAAAAATGATTTTCGGTTGAAGAACTTTGAAGTTTTCCGGATGAAAAACTGATCTCGGTTTCTGAAGAACTTGAAGAACAGTTTTCGGTTTCTGAAGATTGAACCGAAAACTAACAGTTTTCAATGAAAAACTTAGATTTTTGATCCTAAATTGATTTCTACACACTGAAAATACCAACTACAGCTTCAAAACACACTAGATCTGACAGAAATCGGTTGAAGATAGGTTTTCGGTTGATGAAGATCAAACCGAAAACAATAAGATTTCAACCGAAAAGCTGAAATCCAAGCAGATCTCGATTCCACACCAAACAAGCTACAATCTGATCTTCAAAACCCAAGCAGAAACAGGCTTCTAGTGACCGAGAACTTGATGAACACAAACTGTGAAGCCGAAAACTGAATAATAAGCTTGATTGACACCGGTTTTGCTCTGATACCAATTGTAAGGTCCTTGATGGAAGGATCTATACCAATGATCAATCAAGCATAAGAAAACAAAGAAAAAATTGAGTAGAAGTGGAATGAAACTTGAGCTTGCATACAATTCACACACGAAATTGTCGGATACAACTCAAAGGGAACCGAAAACCACACAGTAAACAACTGTAGATCAACCACCTCTACTGACAACCTGACAATACTATATATACCCAATTGGACCGAAAACAGGTTTCGGTCAGGCAGACCGAAAACCTGTTTTCGGTCACTTCCCAACCGAAAGCTTGCCTAGACCGAAAACGTCAAACACACACAATAGACTCCAAAATACAATCTCAAATTCCCTAACTCGTCTATACATTGTTGCCTAGCCCAAACCATATATATTGGCCCTTCACCAGTGTTAGCCCTTCCCGAGGGAGTGGTGGACTTCGTAGTTTATTATGATGCATCTATATCATGGATGGGTACGGTGTTAATGCAGAGGGCACACGTGATAGCATATGCATCAAGGAAGTTGAGGCCTCGGGAGACGAGGTATCCCACCCACGATTTGGAGTTGGGGGCGGTGGTCTTCGCCCTCAATATTTGGCACCACTACCTTTATGGTATCTGGTATACCATATACACGGACCATAAGAGCCTGAAGTACCTTATGGATCAGCCCAACCTGAATATGAGACAGAGGAGGTGGTTGGATGTAGTGAAAGACTACGACTGTGAGATTTTGTATCACCCTGGCAAGGATAATGTGGTAGCTGATGCCCTGAGTCGCAGAGCAGTGAGTGCTCCGATACGAGACGTGTGCATGAGGATGATGGTAATGACTCCAGTCTTAGATACCATCTGAGAGGCTCAGGTGGTAGCCGTGAGACCAGAGAACCGTAAGAGAGAGCGGGTGATCGGGAAGATTTCTGAGTTTGGGACGGATAGTCGGGGGTTTATGACCTTCCGTGGGCGGATTTGGGTGCCATATACGGGTGGAGCTCAAAGTATTTTGATGGGGGAGGCCTATAGGTCGAGATTCTCGATCCACCCGGGAGCCACCAAGATGTATTTGGACTTAAAAATGGATTATTGGTGTCCCTGCATAAAGAGAGATGTGGCATGGGTAGTCGAGAGATGCTTGACCTGTCGTCAGGTCAAGGCAGAGCACCAGCGTCCACATGGCCCATTGCAGCCTCTAGAGATTCCCCAGTGGAAGTGGGAATAGATATCCATGGATTTTATCACCAAATTACCGAGGACCGCACGAGGTGTTGACGCGATATGGGTGATTGTAGACCGATTGACGAAGAGTGCTCACTTCCTGGCTATCAGTGAGAGCTCTTCTGCGGAGAGATTGCCTGAGATCTACGTTCTAGAGGTGGTAGCACGGCATGGGGTGCCGACATCGATAGTGTCAGATCGAGATATGCGTTTTACTTCCAGGTTCTGGAAGAAATTTCATGAGGAGTTGGGTACCCGATTGCACTTTAGTACCGCATATCACCCATAAACAAACGAGCAGAGAGAGAGTGGACGATTCAGACACTCGAGGACATGCTGCGTGCATGTGTTATGGACTTCGGTGGAAGTTGGGACACTTATTTGCCCTTGGCTGAGTTTTCATACAACAACAGCCATCATTCCATTATTGGCATGCCTCCCTTTGAGCTCTTATATGGGAGGAGGTTTCGGACTCCCATCTGTTGGGGAGAGGTAGGGCAGATAGTGATGGGGGCACTGAGATAGTGCTCAAGACGATAGAGAAGATCCAGCAGGCCAGACAGAGGTTACTGACGGCCCAGAGTCGTCAGAATAGTTACGCCAACCGGCGCCGTTCAGAGCTAGAGTTTCAGGTCGGAGAGTTTGTCCTCCTGAAGGTATCCCCATGGAAAGGGGTGATTCGATTCAGGAAACGGGGAAAGTTGGGCCCTAGATACATAGGTCCTTTCAGGGTGATCCCCCAAATGGATAAGGTAGCTTATCGGTTGGAGTTGCATGCAGAGTTGAGCCATATTCACAACACCTTCCACGTGTCCCAACTGAGGAAGTGTGTGGCCGATGAGACGGAGTGGTCCCTTTAGAGGACATTCAGGTTGATGAAAGCCTGAAGTACATTGAGAGGCCGATAGCGATCTTGGATAGGAAGCTGAAGGTCTTCAGAAATAAAGAGGTGCCCTTGGTTCAGGTTCAGTGGCAACATAGGATGGGATCCGAGTGTACTTGGGAGCCGGAGTCCGAGATGCGGGAGCAGTGCCCAGAGTTATTTCCGGAGGACGACTTCAAGGGAGAAGTGTGATTCTAGTGCGGGAGAATTGTAACATCTCGACTCCCAGGTATAATATTTAATTAATTTGCATTCATAATTTCAGAGCAACTCAACGAGTTGGATGTCCCAACTCGCCGAGTAGAGGAGTTAATGGTCGCGGGATTTTTAGAGTCTACTCGACGAGTTGGAGGACCCCAACTCGACGAGTAGGTACGAAGTGAGAAAACCCTAATTTTCAGGGTTTGTGTCCTATTTAAAGGACCTTAAGCCTCCATTTTCGCCTCCCTTATCACCCTAACACTCTGTGAGAAACCTTGTTCGAGCTATAACCTTGTGTGAGAGAAAGAGAGGCTAATCTTGTGTGTTCTAGTGCACTTTTGGAAGGAGGTTGGAGAGCAACAAGGCTTGGAACGAGGAGGGACTTTTGGATCCAATGTTCTTCAGTGTTAGCTTCTGTTTGGAGGTAAAAATCTACCACCTTGATCATTTCTTTTGTTAGATCTATTTCTAGGGAGTTTTAGGGCATTCTCCCATCCATCTTTTGGGTATTGAGTCATTTGAGCATGACATGAAGTTGAAACATCAGATCTGGACTGAATGAGGTCATTTGAGTTCAAAGATCCAAGCTTTATCAAGCTAGTGACAAGTTGTTATGCATTAAACCCCATATAGAGCTTGCTATGGCATTTCAAGCCCTAGATGTCATGCATGGACGTAAAGCTTGCAGCTTTACGTGGTATTTCAGCCTTGGGAGGCTAGATCTAGAGTTTGGGACATTATTTCTGCTTAGAATCGTCTGAATGAGAATTGGTATAGAGGGACTCGACGAGTGCATGAGCCAACTCGATGAGTTAGCTAGGGTTTTACCCGATAGACTAGACGAGCTACAACTCGGCGAGTTGACGAGACAACTCGACGAGTTGAGTTGGATTTTCTCGATACTTCACAGAAAATGAAGGAACTCGACGAGTCACATAGATGCACTCGACGAGTTTAGTCAACATGGACTGTTAACTTTAGAGTTGACTTCCGTTGACATTTAGGGTTTGGTCAACTGTGGACCTTGGAGACCATGGAGGGGTAAAATGGACTTTTCACCCTTTTTGAGATTTAGTGGAGGAGTTAGCTTAGCATTTCGGATTGCTTATTTCGATTTGCTTATTAGAGATAATTATATTATGTATGGGGAGTCTAGACTGTTCGTGGGGTACTAGATCTACTTGCTTACTTCCGAGGTGAGTCTTCTCATTATACTTACCTGAGTGGTAATACTGAGTGACCAGAGGGTCCTATGTGCTTATATTGAGTTATGTGATATTATGCATTTTGTCTTTGTGATATATGCTATATTATTCTGTGCTTTACTGAGTTAGGACTGGAGGGTCCAAACCGAGTTCTGAGACCGGAGGGTCTTCACTGAGATATAGGACTGGAGGGTCCAACACGAGCTGTGAGACCGGATGGTCCTCACTGACACACATGACCGGAGGGTCCACACCGAGCCGTGATACTAGAGGGTCCTCACTGAGACGCATGAGACCGGAGGGTCCATGTCGAGTTATAGCCATGAGAGGCTTATTATCTGTATATGTGGTATTTTGGGTGACTCACTAAACTCCGTGCTTACCGTGTTGTGTGCTATGTGTTTCAGGTACTTCTCAGGATCGCAGTAAGGCGCCGGCTTGATTGTACACACCTGTTCGAGACTATGTTTGAGGATTCTTGGATACTATCAGTTATTTTGTGGATTTGTGTTTGACATTTGAGACAATTGTGGTTTTGAGAAATGTGACATGAGTTTTTATGTATTTTAAAAATGAAAATTTTGGTTGAAAATTTAGAGTGTTACAGAAAGAAATGTTTTGGTTACTGATAATAAATGTCTTAACGCAAAAATTGATATTTTGTATCATTCTATTGATATTCTTGAAGGCAATGAAATAATGACTCCGAATTTTCGTCATCCCTGGTCCAAAGCACCTGGTGTTGGAAGTGATTTTCTGAAACCGGTTGTTCGTCCCCTGTAGGAACTCCAAAACCTAATGTTTATGGGAGACATTCTGAACTACACTTATTCAGATACCCCTCTCTCATCATTGTCGTCCCTTCATGAGACCCCAGACAAATATCATTCATTGATTCCTTAGTTCACACTAATCACTATTACATGTCCTAATTCCACACAATTTCCGCCTCTAGTATCCCTGGACCTGAATCAGTCTTCAGAACCCATACATAACACACGCAGTACTGGAATTTGCATTCCGAACTCTGGTCCTCTGAACAATTATGTTATCGAGGAAATCATTCCTGAGACAAACGGACATGACTCAGACCATGTCAATTCCTTTTGGGCATCCTTAGATAGTGATGTAGAACTTAAGAGTGATAACGACACATCATCTGATTCCTGTATCTCAAACTCAAATGTGGTTTCTAAATCGACTCTAGTGCCAATTAAGCCTCATTTAAACAATGCATCATCTGACACTCAAAAGAAACCTTGGCTGAACATGAAGGATATTCTTCATCCAAAGACCAAACCTAGGAAAGTTCTTGAGAAAGAAATTAGGTCTATACAATGCTTTAGGTTCCTTGAGAAATCCGAGAAGAAAAGGCCCCAAAAAGTTAGTCCAACTACTAGGAATCACAATACCTTCATGCCTATTAAGATTCTTAAGAGACCATCTGTTCCTGTTAGCTCGGATGTTCATAACACATCTGTCAATAGTTGTGTAAAAAATGTTACTGTTGAGAACTCATTTAACAAAAATGACTCTCCTCGGAAAATTTCTTCTTCTGTTTTTATTGCTAACTCGAATGGTATGATTTTTAAAGCAAAACAACTTCCGAAATCAAATGTTCCTACGAATGCAATAAACAAAGGAAAAGATGTTCGGAACACGGATGTTCGAAAACCCTCTAAAGGTCCATAACAAAAATTTAAATAGAAAGTGAAACAATCTGAAAATTCAATTGAAACAACTCTTAACACAGTTCTTCTAGCAACATCTCAGACAAATGTTCTTCCGAAGAAAGTAGTGTCTAAACAACCAATGGTTGAATATTATTTCTGGATAAATGAAAAGACTCTGACATTCTGCATCTTTCCCAAAGAATCTCAGAAAAAGCCTTTCGAGATACCAGTTGTTAAGAAATCACAAAACAAGTCGAAAGCCTATGCTAAAGTCCCTAAATCCAAGTCGGAGCCTAAAAACTCTAAGTCTCACTAATTTTGCAGGCCTTTTGTGCTTCGGATAAGATACAATATGGTATATTGATAGTGCTTGTTCTATGCACATACTAGGCAGAAAAATACTTTCTACGTGACTTCAAACTTGCTCCAAATGCTGGCTACGTTACTTATGGAAATAATTCAAAGTCTCAAATTCGAGGTTATGGTGTCTTGACCAACAGAAACTTCTCTGTCTCTAATGTGGCTTATGTAACTGATCTCAAGAATAATCTAATCAGCGTGGCTCAACTAACTGATGCAAATCGAAGAGTTGAATTCTTCAAGAAACATAGTTATGTTATGACAAAAGACCAAAAATAATGTCTCATCAAATCAGATCGCTTCAAGAATATGTATCCTTTGGACATCAACATGATCATCGGAAAGCCTCAACTCTGTCTTCTCTCAAAATTCGTTCATGACGTAAGTTGGCTATGGCATCGGAGGCTTGCTCATCTCAACTTCCGATACATGAATGATCTGGTTTCTGGTGAAATGGTCTGAGGTCTACCTCTCCTTAAATTTGAAAACGGTCATTTATGCACTGCATGTGAACGTGGGAAGCAATCAAAGAAAGGACATCCCGTTCTGATTGAAAAATCCATTTTCGAACCACTTGAACTTCTTCATATCAATCTTTGTTGACCATCTTCCATAGAAAGTTTACATCACAAAAAGTACATTCTTGTGATTGTTGATGACTACACAAGGTTCACTTGGGGTATTCTTCTTAAGGTTAAATTCAGATACTGCCTCCGAGCTCATAAATTTCATCAAAGGCATAGAAGTTCTGATTAAACTTCCTGTTCGGAGAGTCCGAAGTGACAATGGATCCGAGTTTACAAATGCCACAATCGAAAAAGTTTCTCACTGACAAAGGCATTAAACACAATTTCTCTGCTCCCTACACTCCTCAGCAAAATGGTGTTATTGAAAGAAGGAATCGAACTGTTGTTGAAGTCACTCAGTCGATGTTGAACTTTGCAAAACTTCATCTCTATCTTTGGGC